AATAAACAAGTAAATAATGACCAAAAAGCAAAGTGAAATAAACAAATGAATAAGTCATGGGCATGGGGAAAAGCTAAATTTGCAAGTAATTTTCCATGATAAGGGTCCTAAAAAAATTAATAAATGTAAATAAATTGCCTTTAGTAGCTTAAACATATACATGTATACCAAAACTATGACCACATGCAAAAAAGTCCTGATAGATAATCCAGTGCTAGTTAATTTTCCACTTGCACTACTTGATTTGATTTAACATTTGCCTGGAGGGCATGAAGCATTTTTTCCTTTTTCTGCTTGCAGATGACATAAGGCCCATACCATGGGTCCTGGACAAGTGAGAAATGGTTTCAACTTGCCCAGAGGCAAGCTTAGAAAAGCAATTTTCTTTGCACACCGCAATGACCAGCACATTGTTCATGAACTCTTATGCTATCAAGCTAAAAATATGGCCTGCCAATAAAAGACAGATATACTGTGACTTGTGCTTATTAAACGAAAATCTTGGCAAAACTGTTAGAACATGTTCCCTACCTCCTTGCTAAAAACCAGCCATCAAATTATATCCTCTAGGGTTCATCAAAACCCCTTTTCTCTATTTGTCTTATTTTTCATTATCCTTACTTTCTTTAAATCATTATTTTCAACTTAAATAAAGACCCTCCTTTGCAGACGCACATCTGATGTACTTTTTGAAGGTACAAAACAAAATTAAACGATACAACAATAATATGCAAAAAGTGCTGATAGAAATCTTAAGAAATTGCTTTTTTCCTGATGAAGACAAATCCATAGAAATATCAATTGAAGGTGCCAAAGTAGGGGAATTGAATGACAGAGGAGGCCATCATGTCTGTGATAAGTTCAGTAAGATTACAAAAATTAGGTTGAGGGTTAAAACAGTGTCAAGAACAAAATTTTATTTAACAAAGAAAAATTCCTTAAATGTTTTTTTTCATAAAAAAAAAAAAATTTGCCAGAGGAGGAATAATGAAAAAAAAAAATTCAGTTGTGAGCTATGTACATAAAAATTTTGTGCATTTACATCAAAGTATACTGAAAGAAAATATTGGCTTAACAATGCAACTATTGATTTTTGAGAGCAAAGCCTCTAGAGAAAAAAATTCAAGTGTGCAACCGAAAATCTTCCAGATTTTCCTCTTTCTTCTTTTTCAGAAAGTAAATCAAATCATCACACTATTGATATTTATCAAAAAATTTTTTTTTAATTTTATAAAATCATTTTTTTGGAAATTAAAATATGATGACAACACAATTTCTGCACCATGTGATCAAAGTCTAAAAAAATATCTGAGAAATTTAGCACTTCAAGTCAACATTCAACTTATGCTAAATAATATTATGAAAAGGAAACGGCTGTACTAACAGTAAACAAAGATTCAGATCAGGGGAAAGGAATACGACTGAATAGTCAAAGAAATTGTCATATATGAAAAAAAAATATTTACATACACGTATGGATCTAGTACTATCACCCCAAAGAGGGAGTGAAAAAAAAACAGCCAGGAAATTGCATCAATGGCAGTATACTTCAAGTGCCTCTATGTTCAAATACAAAATAACATCATGGAATTTTACTATGTTTATGACATAATGTTATATACATGTACAAGGGTTGAATTAGTATTGATGTAAAAGACACAGCTGCATATAATAGTGCACATCAGAAAATATAATAATGTATTATTTTCAACACTCACATTTACACAATTGTAGGATGGGAAAGCATTTAGAAATTTTATATCTACATTAACAAAAATATTTCTTATCACACCTACATGTACAATGCATATCTTATAAATACAAATGTTCACCCTTGCCAGACTATTTTTTCTCAACTCTGGGGTAGTTTGATTGAGGTGGAAGTGGTATGTTAAGATGGATAATGGTTGTGATTTCCACAGAAACTATGTGATTAACATTGTGAAAAGTTTGTGGAAACCAATGTTTTTCATTTGGTGTAATCCATGTGCTTAAATAATTCATGGAGGCCTTATATCTAGAGTGCAATTTTTTAACTCAACTGAAATCTAGCAAGTTATTTACATGTACAATACATTTTCTGGGACCATCTTCTCAAGAAAATGTATCAGGGATTACTGGGCATCAGAGATTGGAGAATTCTCTGGATATATTTCAGTCCCCTGAGCCAGTTTTATTCAGATGTTGAGAATATGATTCTGCAAGGCCACTCCATTTTCTGATACTAAACTTTATGCCTCAAAAACACATTGTACTTCCAGATAATTGAAACAAAGTTCAAGATCTGAAGAGGGCAACTAAGACAAAGTTCCTTCCAAATTACACCAAAGTAACTTGAGCTGCATCCTGATGTGGCGGTAAAAAGTAAACAGGAGAATTGTCATGATTGTATTTGCAGTCTTTAATTGAGTAATTTTTTCTTATACTTTGTACCTTTCATTTTTTATGCAAAATTGAGTGCAAGATCACCAGGATGCAGCTCTTGCTTTGTTTTAACCTTGTTATAAATACAATGAGGCACTTACCAAATTATCATTTTTGTCATAAAAACTTAGTCCAAAGTATTGACTTTCTTCCAAGTTCAGGCATTCATAGACATTGTCATAGAGAGATTTGCCTTTACCTTTTGGCTACAAAAAAAAATTAACATTTGACAAAGGACACAATGCACCTGTCCTACTGAGACTGAGCGTAACAAGAATAATGTTACACTCCTCAATGGGGCATGGTGGCAAAGTATTTCCAATCCACACTTTTTTTTTAATATAAACATGTTCATGATCTCACCTTGCTTGACACACTCGCCAAATGTTTCTGGAGTCACCCAAAACAAGTAGACCAATAAACAGTTCTGCAATTGTGTCTTCTTTGGGTTTAGAGTAACGAGTGCAATCTTAGGTAAAGACAATAATGTAGTATCTTGCTCACCCATGTCATAACGGCGAGACATTCTGACGCGATCTGCGTTTGGACGGGTTCACGAAAGCGGACCAAACCACACTCCCCCTTCGACTAAAAACCCTTCGATGGCAGACGAATCAAGGAGAAATTCAAAACTAAAACACAACAACAACGCGTGTCTTAAACTTCCTCCACGCTTACACCAACATGGCTTCAAAGAGCTCAGTGTAATCCTTGCTGTGATTGGTCAAAGTACAAGACGATTATACTCCTTCCAAATATGGCGTTTTAGCGCCCGGAAGTGAGCCTATTTGTGCGGGGTAATTCATAAATATCTCAAAGAGGTCCAAAGACGCTAATAATTTATATTTCAATCCGCTAAACGCATTGGCGATGCGTTTTTCCTCGATCAACCTACTGATCATTTTCTAAAGGCACATTGGATGTACGGGATATTTACTTTCGGTGATGTCATTTCAAGCCTGTAACTTTTTAAAATTCAATTTCAGTTTCAAGTCCTGTAATATCATTAGGAAAGCGTACTGAGTACATGGCACCTTTTTATGTTTCATGACCTTTCGGTTGATTTGCTGAGTTAGTATTTAGGAAAAGTTACACTACTTTTTATTGATCTCTTTGATCCCATTTTTCCTCACGCGGTGTTATTTGCATCACTCGAGGCTAAATTCCACTTTCTGCTTTATAACATTGTTTATTTAAACCAACTTAATGATTTCATTTCTGGAGGATACCGACCACATAATCTATGGATCATAGGGTAGGCGGATGGTGCGTGGGATTTTTTTTTTTTTTTTTTTTTTTTTTTGATGCAAGTCAATCCGCAAGACCTTCAAAAACGTCTTTTATTCAAGCAGATCGACTGATTCCTGTAAGGAATAATAGAAGAACAGAAAAGGAGGAGAGGAGAAACTGAAAAGGAAGCGAGACACTGGCGGTCTGCGGTTTTTAAATCGAATGTATCTAGGCATGACCCAAGTAGGATCGCAACTCGTAACAATGCTGGCCAACTCTTGTTTTGATCATGACCCACCGTTTGTATAAAGACCCATCTTAAGTCGTTTTCAGTTGATTATGTTACTCCCTTGACTGTTTAACAAACCGTTTTTTTGATACTTCTATTACGAAATTCATTTAAAATAAAGCCCGCTTTCCCATTTGAACCCAGTGCCCACAAACGAAGCAGACTTTGCAGGCTTTCAGGAGGCGTGTTGACACGTTAAGACCCACCTTTGACTTATGGATATTAATTTTCATAACTTTCGAGCTTCGACAACGGCCGGTGGTTGCCCAACAATCTTACTTGATCGTCCTTTCTGGATAGAACCGGTAAGATTATTTGTTCGATCTATTGAAGCAGATGCTTAATGAAAATAGCTATCTTTATTTATTATCATGTGAAAGCTTAGGGAATCCCGTGAGCGAGCCGTCGTATAAAGGACAAATACTTGATTTTATGCATAAATTTATTAAGGTCCAGCTTGCCAGTGTCGTTTCACCACATTTTTGTGATGAAAATTGACTTTTGTACGTTATAAGGTCCACACTGTGTTGCACTTGCGTATCTTTGTACATATTAACGTTTCATTTAGCTAAAAAAAATTTAAAATTTAAGCTTTTGCAAATCATTTGTTGGGGCAGGAAGTTGTACTGCGAGACAATGTATTCTTATGTTTATTCATCGTAAATGGAGGTCCCTTTCACTTTCAACCGATTTTAGACAAGGGTATACTCAGGATATACTCTACACTCGCTATTGCATACTTACGCATCATAATTCTAACCTTCCTCTAGTATTACGCGCCTGCACAATTTTTCTTGTTTATTTTGGATGAGAAAAGACTCCTCACAATTGAGTTTTTGGTCACATTTAAACATAAAGATGTGATGAACACGTGAAAAGTGGGGAAGTGGCTGTTGATTGTAAACTACTTTTCCAATCTGCAAAGCGTCTGGGTGTGTTGTGAAAACCTAACTGAAATTGATCACGGGAAACGGCGAACGGAAACAGGAAATAGAGGAAGGAAAGGAGACTAACCGGGGAGGGAGTCTGGGACTTATAGTACAGCGGTAATCCACATAACCATTCAAAATGGCGGATAACAACAATTTTCGATTGCATCTTGAAGATACATTAGGGTCTTCTGTGAAGCTAAGAACCAAGTCAGAAGCTTTTTTCCTTTAAGAAACCTTCTATTACGCTATGGACTGCGGGTTTTAAACGATATTAATTTCACACGGAAACAACGTGGAACGAAACGTTTGGAAAGAAACTTTATTATTGAAAGAATGACTTGCATAGCTTGTGATTTAGTGGTGAGTAATTGCACTTTCTGGTCACTTCTAGAATCAATTGTCGAATTCTCGTTGAGCTCGCCACGCCAAAAGCAGGATTTTTTTGTCCTTTTTAAGCCAGCAGGTTCCTTGTTCTACTGATTCACTCATTCGTCTTGTTTACTGATTTATTCCGCTTTATTTTTATTAATTATTTTTTTTTTTTTTTGACAGCAACTGCAACTGACTGCGTTTAATGGTACGCTACGATGCTTTACATAGGAGATGTTCGGCCATTTTCAATTATTCGTGTGGTGCTCTTAGTGTTTGCATTATCCAACCAAGTTTCTGAAGCCAGAGAGTATATAAATGAAGGTAAATTCTGCAATAGGCCGAGTGGCCCATCTACCATGTCTACCCGAGACTTACTGGGTTTCTGTAACATAAAGCCACTCCCTCTCCCCTGCATTTCGTCTACCCCGCTGGCAAGCGCTATTGTGGGGTGTATCAGCTGGAGAGCTTCCTCTCAGGCTGGAGAGAGGCTATGTGAGAATAAAATGAAGCCTGAGTAAGAGTAAAAGCCTGAGTGAGAGTAAAATGCTGTGCTTAAGAACACAGCACAACGACCCGGGCCTGAGGCCCATTCTCAAAAGTTCCGGTCACGAACAGGGCTTGAAGTCATATTTTGAAATAGAAATCTAAAGTTAAGAGAAGCAGGTTTAGTCAGCCTAACCAGTCCATTTTGTTTTTTAAGCAGATAGTTTTGTTGTACAATTTTTTTTAAAACATTGGAAATCCCCATCTTGAAGGAAAACAGAACAGCTTTACGGGCCCGTTAAATTACCGGAACATTCGAGAAACGGACGCCTGGTCTTGAACACGGACATTTCGGCTAGAAGTCAGCATGCCAACTATGAGGCCATCGTGTCTCCCAACGGGAAGAATAAAATCACTTTTAAAATGAAAAAAGAAAGAATGCAATAACATCATTAAATCTCCTTATAGCGATCTTTTCAAAAAAAATATCCCCGCCCTTATCACTGCATTCCCTCAACTGAAACTGTTTTACAGTCTTGTTTTGTTTGTTTTATATTAAGAAACTCGTTACGAGGCTCCTCATCGCAGGCAATGTAAGGCCTCGTCGCCACCATTTTTCGCCGGGAACAGACATCCAGAGGGTCTTCCAGGTATCACTCGGGGACAAGAAATTCGTCAGTTACTTCCTGAGGATCCCCCAGGAACTCATCCCTACTTTATTTCACTGTTTGACCCGGACAGAAATATCCCCTTTTATTCCGCATACAAAGTGACTGCACAGCAAGCGCCCTTCATTGGAAAATACAGCCGAAGAGACGTAAAAAGAAGAAAATTTAGGAATCCTCCAGGTATTACTCTTGTGATATTTACGAGTCTTTGATTTTTTCACTCAGGGGTAGTTTCACCTGCGGCGGAATCGTTCCTGAAGTCGTTGTTGGAGTCGTGAGAGCGCTTCCAACCAAGTGAAAATAAAAAAAGAGTGTGATTATTAAGGAATCTCAGCGGGCTGGAAGAATCAGAACGGGTCCAGTTTCTTCCGACTCCGCTATAGCTGCGACACATATTATCCAACGAAATTTAAGTTATCACTTACGACACCAACAATCCAGTGTCCCCAGAGCACAGACAACGGAGCTGAAAATTTGTTATTTATTTATCTATTTTTTTTCAGTAAATTCTCCATAAACAAGTAGCAGAATACTTTGAATACCTCTCTCTTCCAGGTGTCCCTGGTTTGAACAATGCCTACAAAAGAGCGATACAACAAGAGCCTCTCAGCAGGGGGCACATGAATCCTGTCGCCATAAATACATTTGATATAAATTTCATGAAAGCTACATTCACCCTCACTAATACAATCCCGCAATACGTTGCATCTAACAGCGGACCTTGGCAGATTTTTGAGGCTAAAATCCGCCGCTACGCTGCAGGTATGTGTGGAGGTCGAGCCCGCCATGGAACTTTGTTCTTACTAACCGGATCCTCGGAATTTAGCCTTGCAAATTATCTTGAAGAAAACGGAGAATCATTTCATTCAAAAGTGGTCCTCGATGGTGTAAATCTTGCCATACCCCGTGCTGTTTGGACAGCGGGTTGCTGTGTATGGAAGGAGTCTAACGATACAAGAGTCCAAAGAGCAGAGTCTTTTGCGGTCATTAGTAACAATGCCAGGGATCAAAAATGGCTCAACCAGACTGAAATGAATGTATCGGAGCTGGAGAAACACCTTACATCGCCAGGCTCGCCATTGGTAGATTTGTTCCCTGGGGATCAACTCTGCAGACTCCCTGAGAACAATATAAAACTACAATAGAGTGAATTTTGATTTAGTCCCGTTTAACCAAAACTAACGTTATCAGTGCAGCCAATCAGAAAAAAGGCAATTATCACAAGGAACAAATGAGAACTCAAAGTAAAAAAAAAAATTTAAAAAAAACGAGCAAACTTCCTGGGGCGCGGAGAAGCGCGATTGACCAGGACACGATTGGGTGAATAATAATAATGATGATGATAATTATAGTAATAATCATAATTGTAATGATAATGATACTACTCAATGAGGAGGCCTTGCTCGCCATGACGGTTTTCAGTGAGGCCCTCAGAGTTCGTAAAGTTTTAATGTCCCACCCTAATTTCTTTTTTCTAACAATATTCCAATAAACGCAGCTGTACTTCTATCTTTCTATCTAAGCTTATCGCTCCTACTGGGGCATGAAAGATAGTCCGCCAGAGACCTCTGTTCTGGGCCATGACTGGCCGGCCTTTCTGATGTCAACCTCAAGATCACGACGCTAACTGTTCCTTGGTCGCTCTCTCTTTCTCTTACCCTGGGGATTCCAGCAGAGGGCCTGTCTTGTAACACTTTGTGTTGTTTTGCAAAGGGTGTGCCCTATCCATTTTCATCTTCACCTTCTGATTTCATCTTCTGCTGGTATTTGGTGGGTCTGCCTCAAGGTTTCTGCTCCTTACAAGAGGACTGACTTGACATTGGAGCAGAACAGTCTGATCTTGGTCCTCTTTTTTATCTCCTTGAAGCTCCTGATGATTTTTGCTGTATAAAGGAGGCTGTGGCCTTGCCGATTCGTGCTATGACGTCTGCGTCTGTGCCACCTTGCCTAGCGATAGTGCTACCTAGATAAACAGATGTTTCCACCTTCTTTAGTGGTTTCCCTATCCAGAGATTTTGGTTCTGGGATGCTGGTGTTGATTTTGAGGATCTTGGTCTTTTCCTAATGTATCTTAAGGCCAATTTGTGTAGAGGTGGCTCTTAGCACTGTGGTCTAATTTTGCATCTGATGTTGGCCGTGAGAAAGCAGCGCCAGTCTAGGTCATCTGCAAAGTCTGCGGTACTTGTGCTTGTGTAAATGATTATTCTATAGCCTGTGAGCCTGTGGTAAGATTGGAGACGAGTGGGGGGAAGCATTTCAGAAAACAAAGGGTCATATAGGGTCGACGTGACTACTTCGGTTCGTAGTCTTGACTACGAATATGAAGCTATGCTAATTACAACGATTATTTGGTTTTTCTTTCCATGTAACTGGTGGAACTTCGGGACGTTCCTTGGATGGAATACCCAATCCGGTTCAAGGCTACCAGTTTTGTACAAAAAGACCATAACGTGTGGTTTGTAAACAGCAGCTGCTCTGATTGTTACTAAATAAATATTTTTGTTCAAAGAGATCGCCAGGAAATAGGGGACAGATGGTTGGGACGTTTTTAGATCACAGGTAAGGGCGGCCGGGCTGCTTAGCAAAATTCAAAATGGAGACGTCTGTAACCGAATGTTTGGTGTATTTTGAGACAAATTTTAAGGGCTAGGTTACTCTTTAGAATTCCACACTGCCGTAGCGTCAAAATTCCTTAATTCTTTTGTATGGCGAAGACACAAATCATTTCCTTTTGGAACATACATTCCCTTGAAATTAACATTGCACAGTCAAATAAAGCCACTTCTATTCAGCAATTAGTCTTTATTACGGTTATGGCAATATTTACTACAGAAACATTTCTGCTGATCCCTCCTCCAAGCTACTTGCCATGGGTGCTGTAAATACTGCAAATATAAACAGAAAAATAATTTTGAATAACACAATGACGGCTATTTAAGGGGATTAAAGTTTGTCCGTATAACCCAAGCAAATCTTCGACGCTACTAAGCACGCTCGTTTCGCTTAGATTCTTGTGGCTTTTTTGATGTTTTTTCAATTTTAACCTTGCAAGGCATCATTTGTAATGTATTTTCCACAATGATGTGTTTCCTTACCTTCTTTCGGCCGGCACCTCTTCACCTGAAACTGAACAATCAAATAATAATTTGGTAAGCTTAGTTTCGCAATCATTATATATTAACTTCAAGGCACAAGGCACAGCGGAGGAAAAATTAGCTATTGTCTAACAGACATCTTTATCCAAGTTATTAATTCATAGTCAACAAGTTATGTAAGTAAACAAGTGGATCGAAATGAACCTTTTTGTCCTGTTCAATGGCCCGGCATTCTTTCACCTGAAAACAACCAAGTAACAATTTAATAAGTTTAAATTCACAATTTTATTTTCTTAGCGAAAAATAAAGGCACGAGGCACAGCGGAGGAAATATTTTCTTTTGTCGAAACAGCCCTCTTTATTTAAGTTATTGATTATATTAGTCAGTAAGTTATGCAAGTGAACAACTGGATCGGAATTTCACCTGGTTATCCCCTTTCTTCGGCCGTCATTGCTTCACCTGAAAACAATCAAATAATAATTTAGAAAATTTGTTTTCACACTGATCAAAGACTTATCAACAATTAATGATAAAAAAAAACATAAAAAAGGCATGAGGCAAAGCGACACGAAACTATCAATTGTCTAAACAGCCCTCATTATTCAGGTTATTAATCATTAGTCAACAAACTATGCAAGTGAACAAGTGGATAGGAATTTCACCTGGTTGTTCCCTTCTTTCGGCCACCATTACATTAGCTGAAAACAATCAAATAATAATTTAGTAAATTTGTTTTCGCACTGATCAAAGACTTGTGACATTTGTTGATAAAAAAAAACTGAAAAAAGGCATGAGGCACAGCAAGATAAAAATTATCAATTGTCTAGACCATCAATAATCGTTAATTATTAATTACTATTTATAAGTCAACAAGCTATGCAAGTGAATAAGTGGATAGGAATTTCACCTGGTTGTTCCCTTCTTTCGGCCGCCATTGCTTCAGCTGAAAACAATCAAATAATAAGTTAGAAAATTTGTTTTCGCACGGATCAAAGACTTGTCAACAATTATTGATAAAAAAAAACACATAAAAAATGCATGAGGCAAAGCGAAACAAAAACTATCAATTGTCCAAACAGCCCTAATTATTCAGGTTATTAATCATTAGTCAACAATCTATGCAAGTGAACAAGTGGATAGGAATTTCACCTGGTTGTTCCCTTCTTTCGGCCGCCATTGCTTCAGCTGAAAACAATCAAATAATAATTTCGAAAATTTGTTTCCGCACTGATCAAAGACTTGTGAACAATTAATGATAAAAAAAAAACATAAAAAAGGCATCAGGCAAAGCGACACAAAAATTATTAATAGTCTAAACAGCCCTCATAATTTAGGTTATTAATCATTGGTCAACAAAGTATGCAAGTGAACAAGTGGATAGGAATTTCACCTGGTTGTTCCCTTCTTTCGGCCGCCATTGCTTCATCTGAAAACAATCAAATAATAATTGAGTTATCTTAGCTTTGAACTAATCAAGACTTGTGGACAACTATTGATAGAAAAACGTAGGGGAATGAGTAATAGGCAAGGAAACGTTTTTTTATTGTCTTGACAGACATCTTTATTCAATTTATTAATCATTAGTCAACAAATTATGCGAGTGAACAATTGGATCGACAATTAATCTTGTTGTCCCCTTCTTTCGGCCGGCATTTCTTCATCTTAGAAAATCAGATGACAAATTAGTTAGCTTAGTCTCGCTATGATTTAAGACTTATGAAGAAATTGATAGCAAAATTTAAAGACACGAGGCACATCGGATGAAATAATTACTGACCCTCATAAAATCCTATTGTTCTCTCTCAGCATTATATCGGCGATTTCAGCCTGAGAAAATATTCATATTCAGTCAAGTCCAACTGTCTGAGGAAAACGGTGGCGGTCCTTTTTGGTAGCAGGGAAATTATCAGGGGTAATCCTAAACGCGCTAAAACGTTCAATATTGCAGTGGGCTGGCTGCACTGCAATATTTTTAATAATGCAGCCTGCTTCCAGCAATATTTTTAATATTGCTGCATGACTGTGGTATTTACTTCGTTACTTTTCCACTCAGTAATTTTTGAAAATTCGCGAATGTCCGCGCATAATTTATGATGAAGATCTGAAGTTAAAAAGTAAATGAATACACCATGAGAAGTACCATTCCAGGAGACGTACAGACGAAAACATTTTACAGTTTATTTAGGGCACATCTGACAATGACAGTCTTTCTCACTTGTAAGAAATAACAATTTTCGTACTGTGAGTACTAATTACAACTGACTGATTATAATCTTCGCTCTGGTTTTCGTCTAAAACCTTTTCGCTTAACCCCTGTAAAATGGCAGATTCGTCTTCCGAAGAATCCTCCATCAAGCTTCAAAACAGTAGCAACTCTTTGCCTTCCAACAAACAACTCAAATAACCAAGTGCATTGCGTTAATATACAATGCAAATTACGTTTGCATGAAATTCAATCACACACCTGAAAGATGTGGAAAGTTACATAATCTTTACAAGGATTTAACATTGACTAAATTCCGGGAAATGAAAAGGGTTATGTAATTTGTATAACTACTAGACAATACGTGCTAATTGCATTGTTAGAGAGAGAAAATAGTAGGATTTCATAAGAGTCAATGATTATATCATCTTTGCAAGTAGTTAACAATGGCTGAATTGGGGAATGAAAAAGAATTATGCAATTTGTATTATTACTGGACAATGCTTGCCAGTTGCATTGTTGGTGTACCAAAACATCAATATGAAGGGGCGACTGAAATCGTCGATGTAATGCAGAGAGAGAACAATAGGAATTTATGAGGGTCAATAATTATAATAGTTAATTACTTCGGTTCGCAGCATTATTGGGTATAATGCTGCGAACCTCAGTAATTATCTATTAAATATTATCCGATTGTCTTAACAGGTAGGTCTTCATAGGTCAACATGCAAGCTATGCAAGTGAACAAATGGATCGACGATGAACCTGTCTCACCTGCAAGTCACCTTCTTCTGCGAGTTTAAGAGTTGAAAAATTCTTTTACCTTTCACAGAGAAGTCCATGACACATATTGCCACGATACAAAGTACCAAAACTGCGGACATTTTCATGTTTATCTTGCTTTCGCTGTATTGAATTGACAAAACCAAAGGGAAAACGTGGAAAATCAATGAGAGTGGTGGGCGTTCCTTAAGGAGGGTAATCAGCTTTAGTTTGCCAACAAGTCGTTTTATAAGAGGAAAGAGGATATCAAAAATTTAAATTTTCAAAATTGTCGCCACATCGTTTAGTCTTTTCTGTTGTTATGATTACAGAAGTGAGATTATGACATACGCAGACGTTATTCAGCACTGTCGACGAGGCTTGTCATCCTCAAAATTGAAAGGCCAATTTCTTAGTGCGCTCTTCGTAAGAGCGTACAGGGGCGGACAGGTAACATTCGTCAACGCGACTTGTTTCTCTGCTCCTATGTCCGAAGGCTGACAGTACTTTTCTTTTCTTAAACTACTCCAAGAGATTGACGGGAAAGAAAAAGTGACACCGAACTAACAAATATTGTGAAGAACAGGGTAGTCAATTGATCTTGCAAAAAACTCAGAAATTTCATGAAAGGCTTCGAGTAATAAAAGTAAGATACTCTCGTGCAAATAAGGCGTGTCTTGATAAGTGGGCCGAGTTAATTCCAACAACAGCTCATACTATTAGGAAGGATGGTTTTGTCCAAGGAAATGTTCTATTTAAATAGATCTTTACGCCTTTGTAATCAAGAGTTCAGCCCTGGATATCCATTCTCTACTAGTAAGAAAAAGCTAAGAAGAACCGCCGCATGGAATGAAGAAAGCAACTTACTTTACACGCCTTGTCACAAGATTCTGCAAGCCTCTCGAATTCTTTGCAGCGGCTCGGACGAGAATGAGTAACTTATGATCAAACAAGAATGTTTGCCGCTTTTTAAAGTGATTTTAGATGCAAAAAAAAGTCATAATTTTTGAAAAGTGCTTGAGGCGAGGCATTTTATGCCCTAGTCACGATCAAACTTCAGTGATCAGAAAGGGTGATGAACTTGAGTTTCATTATACGTTAACCTTGATCATGATAAAAATGAAGAATCTAAGCATATTTCAGATGTTATTTTCAAAAAATGATTGAAAAGGTCCAACCTGAGATGTTACTTATAGAAACGAGTGCTGTTGCTGCAAACAGTTGCGTTGCCAGGGGTCAAAGACGTAAGTTAAAAGCCTAAAGAAATCGTAGACCTGAGAGTATGATATTCGTTTCTCTCCCAGTGTAAATACTATATATGTACATATACTTATATAGATAAGTATAAAAATCTCTAACGATGAAAGGAAATTAAACTATGTTAATTTTTTCTGCTCTGTCTGTCTAGTTGTAAGGCTGAAAGCCTCTCGAATTCTTCGTAGCGGCTCGGACGAGAATGAGTAACTTATGATCAAACAAGAATGTTTGCCGTTTTTTAAAGTGATTTTAGGTGCAAAAAAAAGTCTTTTTTTTTAAAAGTGCTTGAGGCGACGCATTTTATGCCATAGTCACGATCACACTTCAGTGCCCAGGAAGGGTGATGGACTTGAGTTTCATTTTATGTTAAACTTGATCAGGATAAAAATGAAGAATCTAAGTATATTTCAGATGTTATTTTCAAAATGTGATTGAAAAAGGTCCAACCTGAGATGTTACTAAGAGAAACGAGTGCTGTCGCTGCAAACAGTTGTGTTGCCAGAGGTCAAATGACGTAAGTTAAAAGTCTAAAGAAATCGTAGACCTGAGAGTATGATATTCGTTTCTCTGCCAGTGTAAATACTATATATGTTTATATACTTCTATGTATAAGTATAAAAATCTCTAACGGTGAAAGGACATTGAACTCTGTTAATCTTTCCTGCTCTGTCTGCTGCTTTGTCTGTCTTAGTTGCAAGTTTGAAGCTAAGCTCAGGTTGAGGATCCTTTAGAGAGAACGACTCAGTAACGGCAAGCGATTTCTTCCTTTAGTCACACCTTCTTGGATCGTCTTCGTAGTCAAATGTATTATATTCGAGGAGGAATTGTGGTGTTTCATCACTATATATGATAGAAACCAATATCATACCCATAAGCGCACGAATCCATTGTTTTTGAAATTCATCTGACCTCTGGCAACACAAATGTTTCCTTTAACGAAGATGATTGCTGTTAGTTACAGCTTTGGTTGGGCCCCACTCCGAGTGGCATACATCACATAATATATCAATCAGTGTTTTACCATAGTGCTCGCGTAAAATTACGCTTTCTGTTCAGAAAGAAGCCTGTGTTTCTTACTTTCTAGCCTCGAAAAGATGAGCTACAAAATTTCGCAATAGACCGTTTTTTAACAGGGAAGCAAAATAAAATTTGAACACCATCCTTTAGATCTTATCACTTGTCGAAATGTAGCCAGAAACTGTTATATTTTTTGATCGCAAAAATGCAGCTTGAGCACACAGGTTGTGCTACAAATATGGCGGACAGTCTTAAGCGATAGGTGTCTACTGAAGTTTGTTTGTTAGTTGTTTGAGTTGATAGAGGATATCAACGGTCTAAATTGTCCAAAACTGGGGGCACATCAACTAATGTAGTCTGTTGCCATGTATTCACATACGAGAAAGTGACATGCGCAGACGTTATTCAGCGTTGTCGACGTGGCTCTCCTCGTTTCTGAAATGAAACGGCCAGTTCTTGCCAAAATTTCCATAAGAGGTGTCTTGATAAGCGATCTGTTGATTATAGAGTCGGCTGCTGTTAAAAAAAAATGAAGCGAGAGTTGATTTTACGAACAAGTGAAAGATTTAAACATAAAAAAAACTTGAGCATAAATTAACAGTCATGTTCACGTGCAATCATGTTCTGTTCTTAATGTATATCGAATATCAGTTCACATTTTGGAGAAACGCCCGAGGTAAGGAAGTGGGAAAACTCAGGGTTCCTATCATAACCATCCAAAGCACTTCCCTTTTGATCACATTTCACTTCGATTGAGCATAAATGCCATTTGAAATGGCCACTTTGTTAAAATAACTTTGATCGGTATGAACTGGCTAAATACAGCCTAGCCTAAGATGTAACCCGCAGCAATCTTCTTCAAGCGCTTGAATATATATTATAAAATAATTCAAATAGTACGCGCGCTCTGATTGGCCATAAAACCATTTTACATGAGTGTATGTAAAAACGGTTTTCGTTCCTCTTTCATTATTTATTTTTTAAAAGAAATGTAAAATGGTTTTCGTGTTTACATGGCCTGATGTAAACACCATTTTACATTTCTTCAATAATCGTTTTATCGTACAGATATTGATGAAATACCAAAATTTCTGAAGCTCCGTCATCAAAATCCAGTATTCTTCCAGTTTATTTACCAATTAGATTTGTACAAGTAAATTCAACTAAGTTATCATGGTCACTGGGTCTATAAACATGTCACGGCTTTTCGCGAACGTTCTTTTCGTTTTTTCGGATTGAACAACATATTCTAAGTTGAAATCGACTTTTTTAAAAGAAAATAAACTTTATGTGGAGAGTTTGTCTTGTATGTATGAAACTTTTCTTCATGCAGTTCTTACGTGCATTTGATCTTTGCATCCGGTGCTCTTTCGATGTTTTTGATTTACTGGTATGGAATTGGTATTTAAATAATAAATTTTGCATTAAATATCGCCTCGTAGACACAAACTTATCTATTCGTCTTGAAAATGTCTTTGCCAATGAGCGAAGCAGACGAGTAAGAACGTCAATCATGAAAACATGAACAAAGAATATGCGACTTGGCTAATAATGCGTCCAAATGAATGCTGGGATTGGCCAACCCTGCACCAGGTCCCTCTAGGGGCGTAGGCGTGTTTTTTCGCGCGGCTTCGATCTTTATGGTATTTGTGGGATACGCCTCCCAAATTCTTTAATGAAGTTGTATGTTAGCAAACCATTTTTTGCCTTTCTCTGATGGGCCAAGGAGATCATTGATCTGTGTGGGAATGTGTAAATTACCTTAGACATCCCGAAAAGTACTAAATTTCAACTAAAAACCTTTTATTTCGGGTTCATGTAGAAGTCTGTAATAAGTTGTTACACTTATCCTTCCATCCCGTTTCGCACTGCCTTGATCTTTTTTGTTATAAAGTCTTGAAAGGCTCTCAAAAGTGTATGTTTGCAGACCCTCTTTCGCTCCATGATGGGCTGAGGATAACATGGAATTCCAATTTTACAATAAATAATGGTAATTGAACTTAGTGGAGTACAATTTGGGCTGAAATCACAAGTATGATTTCAGACCAAAATTGCACGACACGAGGTTCAATTACCACTTTATTACATCCATTTTGAAATCGCTCAAATACAGGACTTGGTCAATTCAAATATTTTATTTATGCAGTACTGAGCCGGCTTTTAAATATAAAGCGTAACCGAAAACGCTTTTACATCTCATTTTGTATGCAAAACAGAAAGACTTTGACGTCATGTGTCAAAAACTCAGTCAAGCGTATCAAAAGAAAGACAACTTTCATTCAAGAAATTCGAGAAGTCCTCAATAACTCAGAAAAATAGTGAAGCGTTAAAGTTCAATCCTCCTCGTCTGACTCAATGGTGTAAGCCCTTCGTTTCTTCTGTGGTTGGGGGTGGAGAATTCTGGCTGTCTCTTGGGAAGAAGTTGAAGGTGCAGCCTTTGTAATTCTGCGATGGAACAGGAGCAGCACAACTGAAGGCTTCCATGCGGCACTGAGACTGCAATGGAAAACGTGGTGGAAATTCTGAAAATTCAGTCGGCTGAAAACCAGGATTGGAGGCCATGGCCTGATGCATTTGGCCTTGTTGTTGGGCGTGATAAATAGGAACCAGAGGTGTTCGTTTATGTTACCCTGCAATCTCTTGATTTTAGGCTTCATTTGCAGTGTTTTGGCGGGAGAATTCGTTTGCTTGATTTTCGTTTGACACTTCTTTATATCCACTGACAATGTGAGACAGTTCTTTCCTGTGATTCTCGTCTATTTCATCGTAGTCGTCTAATGAAGATTCACGTGCATGGCCTGTTATTTCACAGATGACATTGCGCGGTTGACCAGACTTCTTCAATTTTGATACCAATGTTTTCCTCATGCTGTGGTTCGTCAGCTTCTTATTCGACCTGAGACAGGAGGCCATGGATTTCATTAAATTGCCGATGGTGTTTTGTCCAATTCGAACTTTGGTGTACCAAACATCTGCTGATTTAGGACGATTTATGATGCTTAGATAGAGTGGCCTTGTGTTCTTCATTCCTTCGGGTCGCTTGGACAATCAAAGCTTGAATAGCCACACTGGATCGCTTTTTCCGCCATCGGTGCTGAACGTTGCCTGTGGTGTTGTTCTTCGCCTGATCATCACCTGATGATCAGAGACCACCGCTCCGCGTTTTAGTGGGACCTTCCCTGAACTCAACAACTTCAGTTCCATCTTCTCGCCGTCTTATAATTACGTCTTCCACGTATGCATCGTAGTGTTCTTGGCGACCACGAAATCCCAGTTGTTCTGTCAAATTTTTGAAGTTGACATTGGTCAAGAACTTTCCATTAAAATCACCCAACTTACCTTTTTCCCACAGGGCTGACTCTTCTTCAGGTGTGATTAGCTGAGCTTTGTTGGGTCTCTTTCCCTTTCCTTGTTGACGCAGGGAAATTGCTTTCGCATTGAGGATTTCTTGTGAGTGGTGAAACTCTCTCGATCGCACGATGCTCAATGGATAGTTCTTCTCCTTTAGATATCGTTCAATGGCACTCTGCATGATTTTAAGGGATTCTGGCTCGTAATCATCTCCGTCCTTTTTTTTTCAACTCGGCGTAAAACTTACTCAAGACCTTGTCAAGTTCTTCAGGCGCCATTGTTTCGATGGAGACATATTCAAGATGGCGGCATTGACACCAGCTTCTGAAAACATTCATCGATTGTTTTGTGGAGCGGGACGTATATTTATTAGCAGACTTAAGCTCTTGAAACATCTAACTCTTGTGGTGGCTTTTGATTTTCTTCGTTTGTTGCTGACTCGGTGGTGACTCGGTGGAGGGTAGAAAATCGTCAAAATATTCACCAAAATGTACACGAAAAGTGGGAAAGTCCCTGGAATGTTGGTCTTCAGCCTGAAGGATCTCATTGTCATCATTCAAAAACTAGAAGAAATTAAATTCATCCATTTTGGGGGGAGAAATAAGAGTTATGGAAACAAAAGTTGCAAAATTTGCCAAATGATACTCTTTGTCTTTCATTTTCCTCAAACTTTTCTGCATTACGTGCACCACAATGATGCCAAACTGTAAAGCAGTATTGAAAATGCAGTAGGATAAAAGCCCTTTAGAGTTTTAACATAAAGTCACTTTGAAATCAGTTTATGAAGTCTTAACGTAAGGCTAAACTGATTGTTTTATCTTCTTGCAGATGGTAGGTATATGGTTATATTCGGCCGCCATTGCTTGAGCAGAAAACAATCAAATAACAATTTAGTAAATTTGTTTTCACACTGATCAAAGACTTGTGAACAATTAATGATAAAAAAAAATATAAAATAGGCATGAGACAGCGACACAAAAACTATCAATTTTCTAAACAGCCCTCATTACTCAGTTTATTAATCATTAGTCATCAAGATATGCAAGTGAAGAAGTAGATAGGAATTTCACCTGGTTGTTCTCTTCTTTTAGCCGCCATTGCTTCAACTGAAAACAATCAAATAATAATTTAGTAAATTTGTTTTCACACTGATCAAAGACTTGTGACAATTATTGATAAAAAGAAAAACAAACGTTTGCACCTTCTTTAGTGGTTTCCCTATCCTGAGATTTTGGTTCTGGGATGCTGGTGTTGATTTTGAGGATCTTGGTCTTTTCTTGATGTATCTTAAGACCAATTTGTGTAGAGGTGGCTCTTAGCACTGTGGTCTAATTTTGCATCTGCTGTTGGCCGTGAGAAAGCAGCGCCAGGTCATCTGCAAAGTCTGCGGTACTTATGCTTGTGTAAATGACTATTCTATAGCCTGTGAGCAGGTCCTCATTAGCGCTGCAGGACGCACGTTTCTCGGCCCGTGGGAAGATTGGAGACGAGTGTTAAGGGGGGGAAACATTTCAGAAAACATTTTCGAGACACAAAGGGTCATACAGGGTTGGTAAAAATTTGCTGACGGGTCGAAGTGACTACTTCGGTTCGTGGTCTTGACTACGAATATGAAACTATGCTAATTACAACGATAATTTGGTTTTTCTTTCCTTGTAAATAGAAGAACTTCGGGACATTCCTTGGATGGAATACCAAATCCGCTTCAAGGCTACCAGTTTTGTACAAAAAGACCACAATGTGTGGTTTATAAACAGCAGCTGCTTTGATTGTTACTAAATAAATATTTTGTAGGAAGAGATCGCCAGGAAATAGGAGACAGATGGGTGGGACGTTTTTAGATCACAGATAAGGGCAGCCGGGCTGCTTAGCAAAATTCAAAATGGAGACGTCTGTAACCGAATGTTTGGTGTATTTTGAGACAAATTTTACGGGCAAGGTTACTCTTTAGAATTCCACACTGTCGTGGCGTCAAAATTCCTCAATTCCTCAATTCCTCAATCCTCAATTCTCAATTCTCAATTCTTTTGTATGGCGAAGACACAAATCATTTCGTTTTGGAACATACATTTCCTTGAAATTAACATTGCACAGTCAAATAAAGCCACTTCTATTCAGCAATTAGTCTTTATTACGGTTATGGCAATATTTACTACAGAAACATTTCTGCTGATCCCTCCTCCAAGCTACTTGCCATGGGTGCCGTAAATACTGCAAATATAAACAGAAAAATGATTTTGAGTAACACAATGACGGCTATTTAAGGGGATTAAAGTTTGTCCGTATAACCCAAGCAAATCTTCGACGCTACTAAGCACGCTCGTTTCGCTTAGATTCTTGTGGCTTTTTTGATGTTTTTTCAATTTTAACCTTGCAAGGCATCATTTGTAATGTATTTTCCACAATGATGTGTTTCCTTACCTTCTTTCGGCCGGCACCTCTGCACCTGAAACTGAACAATTAAATAATAATTTGGTAAGCTTAGTTTCGCCAGGATTATAGATTAACCTCAAGGCACGAGGCACGGCGGAGGAAAAATTAGCTATTGTCTAACAGACATCTTTATCCAAGTTATTAATTCATAGTCAACAAGTTATGCAAGTAAACAAGTCGATCGAAAATGAACCTTTTTGTCCCGTTCAATAGCCCGGCATTCCTTCACCTGAAAACAACCAAGTAAAAATTTAATAATCTTAAATTTACAATGTTAAAAGACTTGTGGACAAATTTTCTTAGCGAAAAATAAAGGCACGAGGCACAGCAGAGGAAATATTTTCAGGCAAAGCGACAAAAAAACTATCCATTTTCGAAACAGCCCTCATTATTCGGGTTATTAATCATCAGTCAACAAAATATGCAAGTGAACAAGTCGATAGGAATTTCACCTGGTTGTTCCCTTCTTTCGGCCACCCATGCTTCAGCTGAAAACAATCAAATAATAATTTAGTAAATTTGTTTTCGCACTGATCAAAGACTTGTGACAATTATTGATAAAAAAAAAACTTAGAACAAGCACGAGGCACAGCAAGATAAAAATTATTAATTGTCTAAACAATCAATACTTATTAATTATTAATTACTAATAGTAAGTCAACAAGCTATGCAAGTGAACAAGTGGATAGGAATTTCACCTGGTTGTTCCCTTCTTTCGGCCGCCATTTCTTCAGCTGAAAACAATCAAATAATAATTTAGTAAATTTGTTTTCGCACTGATCAAAGACTTGTGACATTTATTGATAAAAAAAAAACCTTAAAAAAAGCATGAGGCACAGCAAGATAAAAATTATCAATTGTCTAAACAATCAATAATTATTAATTATTAATTACTATTTATAAGTCAACAAGCTAAGCAAGTGAACAAGTGGATAGGAATTTCACCTGGTTGTTCCCTTCTTTCGGCCGGCATTTCTTCAGCTGAAAATAATCAAATAATAATTTATTAAATTTGTTTTCGCACTGATCAAAGACTTGTGACATTTATTGATAAAAAGAAAACTTAAAAAAAACATGAGGCACAGCAAGATAAAAATAATCAATTGTCTAAACAATCAATAATTACTAATTATTAATTATTAATTGTAAGTCAACAAGCTATGCAATTAAACAAGAGGATAAGAATTTCACCTGGTTGTTCCCTTCTATCGGCCGGCATTTCTTCAGCTGAAAATAATCAAATAATAATTTAGTAAATTTGTTTTCGCACTGATCAAACACTTGTGACAATTATTGATAAAAAAAAAAATTAAAAAAAGCACGAGGCACAACAGATAAAAATTATTAATTGTCTAAACAATCAATAATTATTAATTACGAATTATAAGTCAACAAGCTTTGCAATTAGACAAGTGGATAGGAATTTCACCTGGTTGTTCCCTTCTTTCGGCCGCCATTGCTTCAGCTGAAAACAATCAAATAATAATTTAGCAAATTTGTTTTCGCACTGATCAAAGACTTGTGACAATTATTGATAAAAAAAAACTTAAAAAAAGCATGACGCACAGCAAGATAAAAATTATCAATTGTCTAAACAATCAATAATTATTCATTACTATTTATAAGTCAACAAACTATGCAAGCGAACAAGTGGATAGGAATTTCACCTGGTTGTTCCCTTCTTTCGGCCAACCATGCTTTAGCTGAAAACAATCAAAGAATAATTTAGCAAATTTGTTTTCGTACTGATCAAAGTCTTGTGACATTTATTGATAAAAAGAAAACTTAAAAAAAACATGAGGCACAGCAAGATAAAAATAATCAATTGTCTAAACAATCAATAATTACTAATTATTAATTACTATTTATAAGTCAACAAGCTATGCAACTAAACAAGAGGATAGGAATTTCACCTGGTTGTTCCCTTCTATCGGCCGGCATTTCTTCAGCTGAAAATAATCAAATAATAATTTAGTAAATTTGTTTTCGCACTGATCAAACACTTGTGACAATTATTGATAAAAAAAAAATTAAAAAAAGCACGAGGCACAACAGATAAAAAATTATTAATTGTCTAAACAATCAATAATTATAAATTACGAATTATAAGTCAACAAGCTTTGCAATTAGACAAGTGGATAGGAATTTCACCTGGTTGTTCCCTTCTTTCGGCCGCCATTTCTTCAGCTGAAAACAATCAAATAATAATTTAGCAAATTTGTTTTCGCACTGATCAAAGACTTGTGACAATTATTGATAAAAAAAAAAACTTAAAAAAAGCATGAGGCACAGCAAGATAAAAATTATCAACTGTCTAAACAATCAATAATTATTAACTATTAATTACAAATTATAAGTCAACAAGCTATGCAAGTGAACAAGTGGATAGGAATTTCACCTGGTTGTTCCCTTCTTTCGGCCGCCATTACTTCAGCTGAAAACAATCGAATAATAATTTGGAAAATTTGTTTTCGCAATGATTTAAGACTTATGGAGAATTTTATAGCAAAATTTAAAGGCATGAGGCACATCGGATGAAATATTATCCGATTTTCTTAACAGATACCCTTTTTTAAGTTATAAATCATAAGTCAACATGCAAGCTATGCAAGTGAACAAATGAATCAACGATGAACCTGTCTCTCCCCTTCTTTCGGCAGGCATTCCTTCACCTGAAAACAATAAAATATTAGTTTAGTAATCTTAGCTTTGCGATGATACAAGACTTGTGGATGAATTCTGATAGTA